TTGCGTTTTTTCGATACAACTTACCCTTTTTGAGTAAAATCTTTTTAATATTCATGTTACACTTGTTTTGTTGTGTTTTTTACCGAAAAAACAATGGTCAAACTTGCTCGAAAATCAAACTATTTTTGCTTTTTTGAACGTTTTAACACGTTTTTAAGATACATATTCAAATTTTGAATAAGACTTCATCGACACAAGATAAAAAATCACGAAATCAAATCGAAAATTATGTTATTTTTCACTTTCTCAAGTGTTTAAGAAAGTTCTTCAGCCAGAAATGCAATTATTTTGCAAGCCAGTCGAAAAGTAGATAAAAATTGTGCTATTTTTGCTTTTTTAAGCTAATAAACTGTGTTTTTTTCGTTAAAACAGACCATAACTTACCAAATTAGATCGGATATAATAATATTTTTGCCGTTTCAATCATTTTTGAACCTTTTTAGTATAAAATGTTGTTCAAAAAGGCCCAAAAATTACCAAATTAGATCAAAAATTATGCTATTTTTGACATTTTCGAGAGTAAAAGAATGTTTTTCTGTTAAAATCTTTTTTTTCGCAAAATTTCGCTAAAATAGGCCACAAAATCACTAGACTAGATTCAAATTACCGTTTTATTTTAGTTTGTTTTAAATACCTACTTTTTCTCGAAAAAAATTGTTCACAAGCAAAAAATGACCAAATTTGGTCGAAAATAACATTCTTTTTGACTTTTTCAGTTAAAAAATGCACTTTTCCTTTAGGTTATTTTCCTCAAGTAAGCCGAGAAATCTCCTAATTAGATACAAAATGGTGTTTTTTTGCTTATTTTTGAGTAAAATATCAATTGTTTTTGATGCCCAAAATGACCAAAAACTAATTAGGCAAAAAATTGTATTAATTCCATTTATTTTCAAGCGAATAAAAACGTTTTTGAGCCAAAACTGATTTTTTTCACAAAATCTTGCTAAAATACCAAAATTAGGGGTCGAAAACGAAATTAGTTTTGCCTTTTTCAAGTAAAATTTCACCCAAATAGGCCAAAAAATTATCAAATTAAGTTGAAAATGGTATATTCTTTGGTATTAAAAGAACTCTAACTATTTTTGCTGAAGTTTCTTGCCACTTTCAGCAACAAAATTTTAAATTCCATAGTTTTTCACAAAAAAGAGTTCTTTTACGTTTGTCGAAACAACCACATTAAAAACGTACCCCTTTCAGAGGGTGTAGCTCCTTTACACAACATTTTTTGATACATGGTTATAGGAAACTTTTGTCTTAAAATTGAATATTCTTTTACCTGTTCAAATTTGTAACAATAAAAACGGAACACCCTGTATATTATGGCCTTAAAACAAGAAATTATTTTTAATGTATGATCATATCGGATTTTGCCTTAACACCACAAATTTATGTATTTCTGAATTATAAAAATACATTACAAATTTTTGTAATAATGACAGATCAAAATTAATACAGGTAACATCTCATTTTATAAATATAACAACATGAAAACATTACAAGATTTATAAATTTGTAATAATGAATATAAAAGTGTAACAATTTCGTGTTTATTCAATTTTTTAGCAGTAAAGTGTGTTTTCGATCCAATCGGATAAGTTAAAGGTCGCTGCATCGGCGTCAGGTGAAGCAACTTGCTTAAATAACTCTGAAAAAAATACAATTAAGAAAATATTAAACATTATATAATTCTCACCTATCATTATTTTCAATTTAACGGCACACATAATAAAATCATCAAACTCAATTTCGTTGCTTTTATTTCCATATCGATGCATAAGAATATTTAATATGTGGTTATTTAAACTATATCCAGCCGAAGTCAATGCGTTTCTTAATTCAAAACCCGTCAAAGTACCAGATTCGTTTATATCATGTTGTTTAAAAATGTTCTAAAAATTAAAAAAAATATACAGTGTTGTCACTTATTGAAAAAATCGTACCTTCCAATGCCTGACAGATTCCCAAAGCCGTTTGAATTCCTCAAAATTCAATTTTCCTGTTCTGTCAACATCTAACATTGCAATCATACTGCGACAAACGTCTTTAGAAAATCCTTTATTTTTGGTTTCTAAAAGTCATCGAATAGTTACTTATTGCAGAGTTACATACAAAACTTTCCTCCCAACAGACTAAATTAATAATAATATAAGAAAATGATAAATTTGTTTATATCAAAAAACACTGAATTTATTCAATTGAAGTTTATTTTTTAGAGTAAAAGTAGTTGATATTTGATTTATTTTACTCCAGAGGGAATAAAGCGTCACTTTATTCCCTGTTGGGAGGAAATGTCTTCTATTACTAATCTAGACCAACTATTGTAATTGTTGCATGAGTTTGCTAAGCACCCACCAAAATGCGTTTCATTTAGTACGATGTCTTGTGTTGGGGTTGGAAGAACTTCGGCGAATGGAGTATCTTTACATAATGCTCCACAAAGGAGACTTAATATTGTCGTAAAAACGTTGTTTTGATCGGAATTGGGATGATTTATTTCGGGAGTAGCCCCAACGCTGTCCAAAGTCTTTGCTACAGTTGGCTCTTCTACAGCGGAAAATACTACATAAGCACAAAAGCTACAAGCAGTAATTTGTTTACAAATCATTTGATAAAAATGTAGTACAAATATGACAGAGATACTTCGAGTAAATAACGGTTTCCATTATAATAATACAGGGTAAAATAATTTTTACTGCCGTACCAAAGCTCAGATTGTTTTAACACTATTAGATATAAAAAATAAAAAAAAAGTATTACACAAATTGCAATTTTTCATTTGTAATTTCAAGTTTTCGAAAACTTTTTGTTAACTAAACCGTTGTATGAATCACATGAATAATTAAGAAGGGTCCATAGGAACTTGTTTTCTTTCCTATAATGACCTAAGAAATCACCCCCAAAAAATCTCTTAACGTTTTTTCCAGAATATTATAATAATACAGAAAATACAAGTCGTACACTACTTTTAAATCTTCTTTTTCTACGATGTTATTAATTGCCATAATAATATAAAACATAAAGTAAATTAATAAGTAAATGAACTATATGAATTGCAAAAAAAAATAATAAAAAACATAAATTAAGAAAAAAATAAGAAGATGTAAACAAGAAGTGATTATAAATTTGTTAATTAAAGTGACAATTTTATGGCACCTACACTGGCAGATACGGAATTTTGGACATCAAATTTATGTCAGTTCAAAAAATGTCAATGTAAGATACGCTTTTGTCATTATGATTAAGGTTGAACTATACTGAATAAAAAAATATCATAACTTTTTGATGGCCTTAGCAGCCATACAGGGTGATTCAGCTTAAATGACCCATTAGACCCCTCTTGGAAGACAACCTATAATACACAAAGCAATTATTCCTTGATTCATATTCGAATTTTGAAAGTTTCATGAATCGAAAAATATCGTTCTTTGATTCTCGATATTTTGAAAATTTAATTTTGAATCAAGGAATAAGTGAATAATGTCTTATGTGTTGTCTGCCAAGAGGGGTCAGGTGGGTCATTTAAGCTGAATCACCCTGTAGATATAAATTTGAAATTTTTTGTCCGTGCCGTTTAAAAATAAATTAAAAACCTCTATTTTTGGCAATTTTATTTTTTTTATTATATCTGCATCATAATCCTAAATTAAAATACGCTGCAGCGTGCGTAATTTAGCCTTTATAGCACGCTAAAATTTTAAAGTTGTCTAGGTAACAAGAAATAGTGAAATGTCTGAACCAATTACAACGTGAAAAAATGTACTTAACAACGTAACCGTCTATACGAAAACGATTCAGAAACAACCTTTGATAATTTTATTGTGTAAATTCACATGTTTTCAATGCTCATAAAAGATCGTAAATGAGCAGGTATAATAAAAAATAGCGTATAACACTCGTTTATAAGCGCCTACGACGTTAAAAGCACTCCGCTGACGCGTCGTGCTCTTAAACCCGTCGTGGGTGTTTTAAAGGCTTGCTTATAAACTAGTATTATAATATACTATTATAAAAAAAAACTGTACGGAAGAATTTTTTGATTTATTTTTGGCATATTGTAGATTACCTACTTATGTTACTGTATTTTTTTCATGCAATTAAATAATGCGTTTTTTTATAAAAAAAATTAAAACTATTGAATTTTGTAATCCGTTACAAATCCTCAATATGAGATAAAAACTCTGTTACTGTGTGTGTGAGGTACTTTTTTAATTCAGGAACAACATCCAATTGTAAAAAACCCATTTGTTTACTGTATTTCTTAAAAATTCAATTTTTCTTTATTTTGTTTGAAAACTTCTTTGAGCGGCTTTCCGTCTGTACACATGCGACGGAACGGTAGAGTAAATAGTTTTGAAAACTGTAATTTTGTAAGAGTAATTTTCTGTAAAAAGACTGAAAATTTTAATATAATTTCAAATTAGTTTGATTTGTTGTCATTTTTTCTCTAGTTATCAGGACAAAAATTACAAAAACGGAAAGTGAGGTTGTCAGTCGAATGATAAATGGTCCAAAATTCCATGTCCGCCAGTGTACATACAGGGTGTGTTATGTTTTTTGATAATTATTCAGTGAAAATACAAAAACTTTGCCAATAACAGTAACAAATAACGTTAAACTTAAAAGTCGCTGTCAGTTCATAGTGGCACTAAATTTGTAAAAATTGAATTGTTTAAATCCGACTTTAAACATATATTTGTTTTTTAGGGACATATCTATAAATAAATGACAATACTGAAAAAGTTAGGTTGGAGTACTTCATACTTAATTTTTTGTGTTGACGTTTAATGACATTGTTTTCAAATTAATTCAAAAAACCGGAACTGCCAACTTTCTCGTATAATTTATATATTATAATTTATAAAAACAAATAAATTGTAACCTCTTATAGTCCGGTCAAATTAGTCATAAAAATAGTGGTCAAATAACGAAAATTCCGACAGAGCTAAATTTTGGTTAGAAATAAAGTGTCAAAAATCCCCATCGATGTGTGCTAAGAAAGTGAATCGGGGTCAAAGGTCAAAATTTTAGGTTTTTTAGATTTTTTTCGAAAACGGTAAGTTTTATCCCAGACAAAAATTATAGATCTTAAAATTATCTACAAAAATGGCCTTTATACTTTTTTTTTCTAAAAATCACAATTCCTGAGATTTCGCGATTCTAAAAGTTGAAGGAGTAACGTTCTACATCATATGCACATACAGAGTGCGCCAGAACTCGCGCCCCAAAGACAAATGCCATGTAGGGTAAGGTACCAGGAACATAGAAGAAATTAAAAAAAATGGTGTACCCAAGATCTCCACCAAAATTTAGCTCTATCGGAATTTTAGTTATTTGAAATGTCTATTTTGACCGGACTATTAATAAAAAAGCGGCAAACAATATAAGTATAAAGCATTTTAACAAGCACTAGTCCATGCATCACATAACGCAACAAGAACAATAACTTAGTAAAATACAGTTACTACTTAGGTAGTTTGTAATAAATTAATAGGTAAAATTGTACCTACCCTTTCGAGTATAATGGTCTAAAATTTCTTTCAGTTCTTTCCAATCCACTTCTTCATCTTTTCCAGCAACGGTTTTAAATAGCTTAAACATAAAATCGTTCTCCTTTTTTTCTTCTACTGTTGGTTCAGGCTAAAAGTGTGTATATCATAAAACCGTATGCTTTTACATAAAAATTGAAATAATGTGTAATATGCACACAAAAAATATTCTTGCAAAAAAAAACAATATAAAATTTTGTGTTCCCGTATTTGTTACTTGCCTGAGCTTTTGTCTCAGTTTTCAATTTCCGGGAAACCTAATTTAAAAACAAATGTAATAAAAATAAAACAAACTAAAAAGAAAATTTGGTAAAAAGCTAATAATTTCAACACAAGTATTCAAAATTTTGGCAAAAACTTACCACAGGTTCACTCACTAATCCTATTTGTTGGTCATTCTCCCTAAAAATAAATATAGATAGAATAATTGTTAAACAAAAGTAAGAGGAACATGTTAAATATATTTTGTACAGGTTAAAATAATACATCTAATGAAAAGTTCAACAATTTATTTTTGTATTACGTTTAAATAAATACCATCAAAACTGAAAACACGTTATATAAAAAAACAAATACACCCTATAGTGAGATTAACAGTTTATTTTAAAATGTTTTTTCGATACTAGTTGTAAAAGGTACCATTATTTATTTGTCGAGAGACCTAGTGGTCAATAATAATTTTCACTATTGACCAAGGGTAATAATATATTAGAGGTGAGTAAATACCGATATTGAAGCGTATTATTTTTAAAACTATTATCATCATAAGTACAATTGCGGACACGAAATTTTAGACGATTTGTCATTCGACTGACATAAAAATGTAAAACGGGCCTCACTTTGTAATTTTTATCCTGACAGCTAGAAAAAAAATGACAACAAATCAAAATAATTTATTGAGCTTATGTAAAAACACTAAAAATAAATTTCAAATTTTAGTTTCAAACGTCAATCATAATGACAATAAAGCCTGACTTATATTGACATTTTTTAAATTGATGTCCAAAATTTCGTCTCCGCAATTGTACTAACGCAAATTCAAAATTAAATAAAAATCATTATAATTATGTCCTTAACTTTGAATTTGAGATAGGTATTTGAATTGTTAATGAACTCAAAGCTTTAGATTTAAGTGCTATTTTTATATAATTATTATTGTTAACTTATGGTGCAACAAAAAACAATATTTACAACGTGTAAAATTTTTAACAAAATCCCCTCTAAACAATTGTAAAGCACAACCATTATCGTTATTTGCATCATTTCAAACATTTAAAAAATGTTGCGAATAAGATAACATGTCAAAGCAAGTGGAATTAGGAAAATAGTGTAGTAAACTCCTGACAAAAATACGATTTTCTTTAACTCTACTCTGTTGACTAAAATAAATTACATTCTTCTCTTAAAAATACTTTCTTTTTGTTAGTCACAAGCATATACAGGTGTCCGGAAAGTCGCGCACCTCTATCTATAAAAATTCCAAAGTTATGAGAGTTTAAATTTTACACTTTGACTCCATTTATTTCTGTTAGAAAAATATTTTTTCAAGCTTTTTGCTATAGGCTATTAGAAGAAGAAACAAGGAAGCTGTATCCTAAATTATAACGCTGTTTAATGTTATTTGTGGTTTTTATTGACAAAATTTTTGTACCTTCACTAAATAATTATAAAAAAACATACAGATTTGTCAACAAGAAATTACCACCAAGGATTTAAATTTTTAGAAAAATTACGTTTTTCATGTTGTTTATAACTAGAATTTTTAACAGTAATTTTGAATGTCTAGGGTTGGTTACCCCTTGTTGTTGACGGTTGACGTTTTCTGTCAACTATTAATTGAGTTATCTATACAAACTGACAAGTGACTTAACCTAAATTTTTGACATTAGTTACGATATCTTTTGTTTGTCACAAACCAACCTAACCAAATGTATGGTGAATAGGTTATCACGAATATTCCTAAATCCTAGGGAGTGATTTCTTGTTGATACGATAATATACAAGATCATCAAATGTCAAAATTTTTTGACAGATAAAATTTGTTTTTAGCACCCAATTAATCCCTTTCAAGGAGATGCGCGACTTTCCGGACATCCTGTAATTATATTAAAAATTCCATCACCAGTTAGCAAAACAAAAAATTTAACGAAACAACTTATTGAAGAAATTCGTAATTGGATCTGAACTTCTTGAACCACGAGAATTTCTGTCAGGATCTGATGGGTATTGTGGGTATTGAGGATATGAAGGTGGATAAGGTTGAGGATTTTGTGGGTAGGGATATTGTCCATATGAACTTTGAGGATATGGATAAGGATTATTGGGATATGGACTCGCCGGTGGATAGGGAGTAGAGTACGGTTGTGGGGATGGAGCGTCTGGATAGGGATGTGAGGGCGCGCTGGGATAACTTGGATAGGGATTACGAGGTTGACGATTCTCTTCATCTTCATCATCAACCTCATTATCCCTAACTCTAGCAGGCAAATTATCGGAACAAGAACCATCATACTCCATGTTATTTTGATGTTCTGAGAAGACTCGCAAGAGAAATTCTCCTTCCTCATTGGGGTCAAATGTTGAAGGCACGATACAGTAGGTACCACGAGGGAGTTTAAAGCGACAGCTTACTTCACGCAAATTGATAAAACTGGGCGATCTAGCTACGGAAGCGTTGTATTTGAAGAAGTTGAGGTCTAAGGGTTTGGGAGCTCTATCAGGGTATGGAAGCTGGAAGAAAAAACAAAAAAATATAGCACATAAAGCGTAAATAAGAAGAAATAACTTACATAATAAATTGCAAATCCAATGGTTAGTAAATCTGCTCCAACACTGCGACGCATTTGTCGGCGATTTTTCTGCATGAGAGCAACAATCAAGGTGCATTTATCGTCATCATCGCCTTCATCGACTTCATTCAAAGTGATGCGATATTGGGGATTGTGAGAAAAGGTGTCTGTAATTTAACAAATTAAATTGATAATAAATATTGTTAAACTAGAGTAATTTTTCATAAAATTAATAATAAACAATTTTGGAGCTGATTCTAAAAATACCACACTATTTTGTAAAAGTAGTTGGTGTTATTGTTGTATTATTATAAATTACTAATTTAAGTTTTACTCGAAGTTTTTCTTAAAAAACCTTGAAAGACTTTTTTTCATCTCAATTTGTCCTTTTTCATTGAAAAATCCAAATTTTCGACAAATCTTTTTAAGAGTTACCTAGCAAAATAAGTAGTGTCAAATTATTTAAAAAAATCACATATTGTACAAAACCAACAATAAATAAGCACCAAAAAAAACATTATTTTTTCAGCAAACAACGTTAAAAATTTACAAAACAATGTCCTGTGAAGCAAATGTTTCACGTTAAACATTAACAAAAATAAGATAAAAAACTTTTTGATCGAAATTTAAATGAGTTTAAAACATAAGTGAAAATTGTAATTCAACATTCAATTCAAAATTTTCTTAAAAAAAACATTTAAAATAATCTTTTGTCACCAACCAGCGAAAAGAGTTTAATATTTTTCCCCACGCAATTTTGTTGTATTTTTCTAATGTGCCAAAAGCCAATTTTACACTAGCAAAAAGTTTAACAAATGAGCAAATTGAAACTTTTTTTATACACCGTGTTTTAAAATGATTTTCATCTAGCCACCTATGCAAAATAAAAATACCGCTTTAAAAATATTGAATCTAATAATTAACCTCAAATGTTAACTTATATCAATTGAGAGCTGTCACTGTTGACAGAACTATCTGATTCAAAAAGAGTAGAGCGGCACAGAAAAATATACATGTAAAGAAATTCTATAAGCGACTAGATGAAAATCATTTTAAAACACGCTGTATATTGTACAAAACCAACAATAAATAAGCACAAAAAAAAGAAACAAAAAAAAACATAAATTTTGCAGCAAACAACGTTGAGAATTTACAAAAAAATGTCATGTGAAGCAAGTATTTCACGTTAAAAATTAAGAAAAAGAAGATAAAAAACAGTTTGATCAAAATTAAAATTAGTTTAAATCAAAAGTGAAAATTGTAATTCAACATTCAAATTAACATTCATTCTCACACACCAGCGAAGAGTTTATATTTTTCCCCACAATTGACAAAACTTTGTTGTATTTTTCTAATGTGCTAAAAGGCAATTTTACACTAGCAAAAAGCTTAACAAATGAGCAAACAACTGAAACTTTTTTTACAGCGTGTTTTAAAACGATTTTCATCTAGTCGCCTGTGCAAAATAAAAATGCCGCTTTAAAAAATATTGAATCTAATACTTAATCTCAAATGTTAATTTATTTCAATTGACAGCTGTCACTGTTGACAAAACTATCTGATTTAAAAAGAGTAGAGCGGCACAGAAAAATTTACATGTAAAGAAATTCTGTAGGCGACTAGATGAAAATCATTATAGTTATAGAAAAACACAAACTACAGATTTGTTAACAGGAAATTACCACCTAGGATTTGAACTTTTAGAAAAATTACGTTTTTCATGTTGTTTGTAACTACAATTTTGAGAAGTAATTTTGAATGCCTAGGGTTGGTTACCCCTTGTTGTTGACGGTTGACGTTTTCTGTCAACCTGCTGTCAACCATCAAGCTGATAAGTGACTTAACCTAAATTTTGACACTAGTTACGATATCATTTGTTTGTCACCAGAAATCAACTTAGCCTAGACAGTAATTTCTTGTTGATACGACAATAGCTATTTGTACTCAAAACCTGATTTACATAGGAAAGAAAAATAAAACATGTTTTGTATGAGAAAACACAAATTTTACAAAAATTCTATCTAAATTAGTGAAATATTGTATTCATTCCGTTTTGTACATTTATTTTGTCAAATTTAAATTCTGTAAATAAAAACCCGACTTACACTAAAAAAACTAAAGCAAGTCGATTTATTTACACCACAAAATCAAACTGGAAAAACAGCGAACTAAAACCTGATTTACACTAGAGAAATAACAAGTATTATTGGTTTTTGAATTTCCCAAATTGTCACAGAAAGTCAATTGACAATATTTGTCAGTGAATCGAAACCTGATTTACATAGGAAACAAAAAAAAAATCAGTATTTGAAAACACAACTCACACTAAAACAAAACCTGAATCACCCTTGAAAAATAAATCAATTCTCTGATTTAAAATAGAGATAATTTTGCAAAAATACAATTTATATTAGAGATATAAAATATAGTGTTCTTTTTTGTATCAAATTTGACTTATACAAATAAAAACCCGACTTACAGTAAAAAAATTAATACAAGTCGACTTATACTAGAAAAAACAATGTACTAAAACCTGATTTACACTATAGAAATAACATGAATTTGTTTTTAATTTCCCAATTGATAAAGAAAGTCATCAATGGCGTTTTGAAATTGACATAATTTTGAAATACTTGAGTGTCCTTTTTATTCCCCAGACATGAACCCAATAACAATCCAATAGCAATCTTCGACATAAATTAATAAAAAAAAGGAAAATAAAATAAAACAAAATATTATTATTATTATAATGCACCACCAACAAAAGCATTTTTTGTAATAAGTCTTTTTCTCAAAATTAGTCTTAAATTAGGTAAATTTTATGAAAATTTAGGTAAAATAGTGTCACTCACCTAAAAAGTTGCGACACCCTCCTGCAGTTACGCCCCTCACCCATTCTCCTTCAAACACCGACATTACCCATTTTTTATTCCGACCTTCTGTCAATTCATCTTCTGCGAGCGAATCTGGATTCAAATTACAGATTTCAATTCGATTAAAATGTTGCTGGAAGTCTTTAAATGACATCCAGAATTCACCATCTGCATCAAAATTTAAACCGAGCTCTTCTTTATCCGAATCCGAAATGTAATGCCATTCAGGCGAATGGTCACTCCAAGCCCCATTCCATTCAGATTCGTTACCCCATGGATTTCTCAATCTCAATAAGGGAATCTTTCCAGAAACATTCGGTGTCGCTATATTGACATATTGGACTTTTGTGATACTGTAGGCGTGGCCTCGAATGAGACCTTCGGGGGTTTGAGCTTCAAGCACGTCAGGGTCCGGCTGTAATAATTAGCAATTGTTAAAATTGCAATTAATTAAAGAGTTTAAATTTTAATCAACATATGGTAAAACTCGAGGCGTGTCCCAAAAAGCATCATAATTCACCACAAATCCCTCGTCGGAGATTATTTATTTAATCATCAATTTAACTACTTTTGCTAGGCATATTTTTTATGTTGCTCAAGATTATATCTTTTAAACAACGCGGGGATTCTCCCATAAGCTTATTCGAGAGCACAATTTTCGTTTTAAACACAAATAAATCAAAAAGTTTTTTTTTTCAACAATGTTAAAAAAAAAAAATAATCAAGATTGGTAAAAGTATATTTTACCCAAAATTTAAATTATGTATGACTAGTAGATGAAAATCATTTTAAAACACACTGTATTTTGTTATAGAAGAACACACTAGCTATTTGTGACTCAAAACGTGATTTACATAGGAAAGAAAAATAAAACGTGGTTTTAATATGAGAAAACACAAATCATACTAGAACGAAACCTGACTTAGTAATTTACACTTGAAAAATAAATTGTTCAATTTATTTTTTGGAAAATTTTAGACAAATCCTATTTAAATTAGAGAAAATATTGTATTCATTCCTTTTTGTACATTTATTTCGTCAAATTTAAATTATATAAATAAAAACCCTACTTACACTAAAAAAAACTAATTCAAGTCGATTTATGTACACTAGAAAATCAAAATGAAAAAAACAGCAAACTAAAACCTGATTTACAATGGAGAAATAACATGTATTATTGGTTTTTGAATTTCCCAAAGTGTCACAGAAAGTTCATTCACAATATTTGTTAGCGAGTCAAAACCTGATTTACATAGGAAAGAAAAAAAAACAAATCCGTATTTGCATTAGAAGAATAAAACATGTTCTTTTGTATTTTTTTTTATTTGTATAAGAAAACACAAATTACACTAGAACAAAACCTGACTTAAAAAATGAATCAAATGTCCGATTTACAATAGAGAAAATTTTTGAATTAAAGAAATAAATTGTGGTGTTCTCTTTTGTGTAGGTAATTATTTTGTCAAATTTGATTTACACAAATAAAAAACCGTTAGGGTCCGGCTGTAATAATTAATAATCGTTAAAATTACAATTAATTAAAGAGTTTAGATTTTAATCAAGATCTGGCAAAACTCTAGGCGTGTCCCAAAAAGCATCATAATTCAGCACAAATCCCTTGTTGGAGATTATTTAATCATCAATTTATCAACTTTTGCTACACATATTTTACGTTTCTCAAGATTAGATCTTTTAAACAACTTATTATTTTTTTTTTCTAATCTGGAAAATTGAAGTCACTATTCAAATTCATATTTCGCTCATAAGTTTTTTAGAATCGTCCACTTCGATTCGTTTTAAACATGAAGAAATCAATAAGTCTTGAAACGATTTGAAAAATTTTAAAAATATGTAGAAAAAAATATTTAATATTAATTTAATAATTAAGATTTGTAAAAGTATAGTTTAAACTATGTATTTTCCGGAAAAAATTACTGTACCTTAATTTTTTTTTTATTATTAAGTGTAAAAAAAACATAAAGAGGGAATTTAATGGCTTTTTTCTATTTTAGGTCTGAAAATAAACTTATTTCGATACCAAAACCGATGCTTTAATGAGCCATTTCAACACCAATTCAGGTGCCGAAATGAACTAGTACAATTTACTTTCTAGAGGTTGGTAATGGTGATTTTCAGCGGCGTTTTGAGCAATTTCTCTTATTTCAGGTGGTGTGCATGAAATATTTGCAGTATAACTTGACACTTCAAAAACCAAACCTTGTGACATTTATTACCAAGCACCACTTTGGTGCAAAAGTTCCTAAATTTTGAAAAACCGACTTTTATGTTAAAAAAGTACATAAAACGCGCAAAATAGAAAAAATATCATAAAAAACTTGTTCCAGTCATTTGTGGGAACTCTTGCCTTACGAAACGCGTTCTTTAATATACTATTTTTACCACCGAATTCAAAACGCAAACAATTAAGAATTAAAAAAAAAACATTTCATGCGCTATTTTAATAATAATGTTAATTACCTCAATGGAACAACCCATCAACGACCACCGTTCGTAGGCTTTTAAAATAATTTTGAATAAATTCGGAGGAGCTGAATCCAATTCGTACATTTCGGTAACACCACCAGTAAAATCCTCCATTGCTTCGCATGTTGAACCTCCTTTAAGTGCTTCATAGGACCCATGCAACCTAACAACCAATTAGTTTTACAATATTGTGATAAATTATTTCCAAGATAAATTACTTAGCATATGCCTTTTCTAATAATGCACTCCAAAATTCGTTGGCTTCGGTTGAGTGTAAAAACACCAATTCACCTCGGTATGTAGGCAAACGGTCATCAATGACAACATCAATCCATCGTCCATACTGCCAGAATCTGGAAACAATCATTGTAAATTTTTTTCCGTAAAAAAAACCACGATTTTTTACCTAAAATGGAAAATCCCTGCATAGTTCTCATCAAACCCTTGATCGTCTGGAACAATTTGGAAGAAAAGTCTTCTATAGAGTGTTAAATTGGCAACAGCTGCGAGTAACCAACAATCACCCAATTCTCCTTGTTGTACATCAAATCGTGAAAAGCCTTCCACGAATAATTGGGGGTTATCAACAATTTCCTGAAAATTACATTTACCAATTTTATTTACAAAAAAAAGACACAATACCCCAGGTCGTCTCCACTCAAAACGTCGGTCTGGTCTGTGACTATAGAAAAGTGAAGAGTCAGTTGGAGGAAATTCAGGATCCTCAAATAGTTGACCTCTTTGTAAACACTGGTCCCGCAATTCGTAAAAATCTTGAGAGCCTTTTTTCGCTTGAAAACCTGACCCTTGTTCGCCATACTAAAAAGATTTTTTTATTTATATTAGCGTTTAGATATTTCGCAAACTGATTAAGTTATTTTACGCTAAAAATTCCCTGCTTCCGGTCATAACACCATTTCTCTCATTTGCTAATTAAGAAAACATATTTATTTATTTATTTATTAACGCCACTTTGTACAAGTACAAGTTTCAAACTACATTTAAACATTAAAATTTTGTGTTTTTTTGTATATGCTCCCAAAAATAGGTATTTTACGGACTCATTTCAGTCCACCTAAAATAACTATTTTTTTATTTTTAACCACTATTTTCAAGAAATTAATAAGAGGTTTGAAAGTGTTTTTAGAACCTTTAACAAAAATAACTATTTTTTTGCTTTATAGTACAACAGGTGTGTATTTTGTTACTTTTTTCAACATTTTTTTTAATTCTACAGAATTATGTCAATACAACTTCATTTTTGGATAATTTTTGTCTTTTTTTTTAACGAATTAAAAAACATTTTTGAAAAAACTGTAAACACTGTTTCATTATGTGTGTAAACTAAGGTTAATCCAAAAAATTTTTGGATCGTTTAGGTAATGCAGCAAAATTACACAAGATTGGACAATCAATAAAAAGAATTCCAATGTTTTCTACACACAAATAATTAAAAATAGTAGACAAAAGTCGCTGAAACATGGTTTATGTAAAAAAACATTATAAACAATAATACAAAAAAAAACAAAACAAAAGATGTAAATCTATAATTTCTTTCTTAATCAAAGAAATTTTCTATTGCACTTGCAGCTTCGATTTTTTTTTTTTTAGTAAATTCAATACTTTTAAAAAGTCTCAAACATTATCATCGTTTTTACAGTATTATAATATCATGATAACTTATCATTGTCATATACACGGTGATCAAAAAATGACGGATAACCTCGATGATGCATTCTTGAAAAAGCTTTGGGAAGTCCGTAAAAAATGTAAAAAAATCTCCTAACTTATTTTTTGAGCTATGATGAATTATGAATTTTAATAAGCTGACAACGTTGTAATGTAGCAGTAAAAATAATAAAAGTAGCGAACAATTTCTGTTTCTCACGAAACAAAAAAAAAATATATTAAATTATCCAATGTTGTCAGAGATAATTTTAGGCAAATTACACCTAACTTTTTTTTTTTAATAAAAAATTACTTGACCACGTTTTCACAAATAAATTTTTACTGTTGTTAACAATGAAATAATTCTCTGTGTTTTAGAAAAGATATAAAATTAACAAAGACCAGAATTATAAAACTTATTCGTCAACTTTGGTTTAATTTTTTAATTATTTTTTGTACTTTTTTTTATTTTTTTTAAAAATTTTTTAGAAATTTACCATAAGAAACGAGCTTATCCGTTATTTTTTGATCACCGTGTGTGTATACGATGTTCTAGAACTTCCTGAAAAAAATGTTCCATCTTAAAAAAATTAAGTGAACTTAATAAAATTAACCTAACTTAACACCATAAAGAAAATTTGTTGCAATTATTAAAATCTTTTGTTAATTTGTTAATTAAATGGTATTTTATATTACGAATAAACATAACTAATTTTTAATATCTCTCAGTAAATATACAGGGTGATTTTAAAATATGTGCAAATATTTTAATTTAATAGGTGATAGTAAAGCTCAAAAGAAGTCAAAACAACTCAACTTGCCCTATCCAGATAGGAACAAGACTTCTAACGTCAAAATCGACTTTTATTCTCTCAAATAGTTCGAATGTGTTAAGATTTTAAATAGGGTTGTAATTAGAAAAATGCTCATTTTTTAAATATGCTTCTAATGATATAAAAATAAATAGAAGTTCTAATTTAAAATAAGAAAAATAAAAAGCTTTTAAATTTCAAAAGTTTGATTGTAAATTGTGCACACCTGTAGTAATTCGGATCCACTAGACTTGATTAACAACACTGTTAGGCTTTATTTAATCAGTGCCTAGTATTAATTTTATAGAGAGGGCACTTAGTATTTTTTATTAATTTTTAAAAGTAAAGGTGCAAAACCGAATTTTTTGGTTTTCATTTTTTTTACAGAAAAGTCTGAAACAATTTGAAAAAAAAATTGAGAAATATGTAAATAACTAAAAAATAATAGCTTGCCATTTAAGAAAAAAATTTATCATTATAACGTCACATTTTTTTTAGCACATTTTATATAACCAAAAACATTTTCTCGAAATGCGACCTAGAATATAAATAAAGTCTACAAAATATCAACATTCCAAGTTAAGTAATAACTGAGCTACAGAAGAAGGGAGCTGAGATGAAGACCCTATATAATTTTAGGAAAATAATAATAAAATATAATTATGTAATAATAAAATAAAACAAAATAGAAATAGAAAAAGGAAAATACCAAATTTGTTTATTAACTAGATAAAAAAATATTTTTTAAACATAAAAGTTTCCTGGAATAAGCGCAAAATTGATGACAATAAATAAGAAAAAAAGTTCATTCAAACCAAAAATTTCAAATTTTTTTAATTAATTAATGATTGAAAATAAGACATTTTTTTAATTTAAAATCACTGTATCTTAAAAAATAAGAATTATTTTTTTGTAATTTAGAAAGAAATCAATTTGAACAATGTAAGCCTACCTTAAAAATTTTCTTTTCAATAGAATTACGAAAAACGTAATCCTTTCCTCGTTCTAGAGCTTTACTACGCGCCGATTTAACTTCAGGTTTAACTTTAGCCACCTTTGATTTAAACTCATACCTATTTCCCAAACCAGCTTCAACAAATCGCACGCGAGTTGAAGTTACTTTAACATTCTCATCTTTGAGTTTCAAAGGGTGCTTATTAAAAACCGATCTTGGATATTCATCATTATAAGAAGGCTTATACTGTACAGGAGCAACACTGTATCTTTTAAATCTCGAAATTGGTGAAGCTTTTTCCTTTTTTATATTGGCTTCAGTTATTTGAACTTTAATTTCACTGCGATACGTTTCCGATGCCATCACGCACTGCACACTAACAGAAGGCTTCAGGGAAACTGAAACATTATTTTCCTGCCTCGACAATCGCGGAAAATAGATTAGCTTATCACATTATATCCTGCCATTAAAATGCGTAGAATAATCACAAATTATTGAACTTTTTTCGTTTTGGTTAGTGACATTTTCATTCTCTTCAATTTTATTACAGCAAAGGTGATAATAACAAAGTTTTGGCATTTAAAGTTCTTTAAAAATGGGACACGGCATTAGTATCAAGTGTTTAATTAATAACAAACGTTTCTTTAACCAATCCACTTCAAGAAAAAATTTTTTTTTATAAAAATAATACCTTAAATTTTCTTCTCAAAATCTTTGGAGTAAATCGCATTATGAGTGCAAAAATGAAACTGCTGGCAAATACAGCAAAACACTAAGAATTGGGGCGCCATAAAATATCGATTTTGTCCTCTTTGCCGTTTATTAAAATGTCCAAAAAAGCACTATTTCACGTCCAACTCATCTCATAATTGAAAAGCTTGTTCCACTTACTTTATAAACTCTGTGGGGCTGAAAAGTGAGACCTTCTATCCGCGATTTCAGACAATAACGATAAAATGAATGGTTGAAATAAGGAACAGAAGCTGCACGTTGTGGAGTCGGTTCTCGAGGAGTTATTTTAACTTTTCTCTTCTTGGAAAACTAGAAGCTTTGTAGATTACCATTAAACACGTATGGTAAAACGTGCAACACTCACTAGGCCAGGCCACCAACTTCCTAATTTTGATTGCTGTTTTGCTTTAGAGGGAAATTCAGCAATTTGAATACCACTCAAAAGTTGATCTAATTTCTCTTTTCGAGTGTCCAAGTTATCCGATTCAATAACGGAAGCAACATTTTCAAGAAAACTTGCATCTACTTCTATTTTCTTTCCTGCTTTACTATGAGCTGAAGAGAAAGATGGGTGTTTGAGTAATAAAACTGACTCTTGAGATTTGTCAAAATCGAAACTTAATTTGTGCGGTTTTTCACGATGATGCATCTTTGCTTCGGAAACATTGTTGTTCACTTCGTTTTCGGGCTTATTCAGTTCAGTGACATTATCAAGGTTTGTATCTATTATAAAATCTGATTCTTCTGGAGTTAATTCTTTAGGTCTTTCAATTAGTTGAGGTGGAGGAATGCATTCATCCACCGTTGATACAGAAGAAGAAGCCTTGTCAAAATGTGCGTTTTCCTTAGGTAAACTCTTGGTTTCTTCTATATGTATTGCTTCGTCTGATGGAAATATATTTTCGGAATTCACAAATTTACAGAAACACGCTTCTTGTCCTTTTTTCTCTGGATCAATGTAAATTATTAATTTTTGTGTTGGAGACGTGTACAAGGTGATCTTAGATTTCGTCATATGTTTGTTTTGGACGTTTCATACTTTTAATTTTGTAAAACACATTCAAGATTTAACACAAAAATTGTGGACGACACATTAGACAAGATATGTCAATCACAGCTGATCATTGCATGACACCTATCAAAAACAAAAACTTGCAATTTGACAACAAATCAAAATGTGTTTTGTTATCTGATTATCGATTAGTAAGGTGATAAATAAAAGGGCACTTATTTGCTTGACAAATCTTAAGAATTGAGAAAAAAAAAGAAAATGATTTTTAAAGATAATGATCAACCTGACAGAAACACTAATGTTCTGATAATATACAAGGTGTTTCAGAACTCGCACCCCAGAAAAAAATTTCGAGTAAGATAAGATACCTGGAAAATGGAAAAAATGTTTAAAAAAATCCTATTTCTCAAAAAAATTGTCATTTAATTTTTGACATTTGACAATTTTTTTATGTTACTGATAATGTTATTTTAAAGTCGAGATCAATAATTATAATTAATTAATTAATTATAATAATTTATTGCATAGTTGGCAGCTCCTAGCCCACCACCTCTAGTGTTTGGGTTGTGTCTATGTTGGTAGCATAAATAACTAAATTGTGTCAACTATTATTGCAGACGCAGTACATGTTATATGTGAAGTATTCTAACCAAACTTTTCCAGAATTGTCATTTTTGATAAATATGTCCCTAAAAAAACAATTATATGTTTAAAGTCAGATTTACACAACTCAATTTTTACAAATTTACACTGGGAAGTGGCCACTATGTATTCACCGCCACTTTATGTTTTTTTATAATTTCTATAGATAGTTTTTTTTTAACATTTATTCCATGTTCCTGGTATATTACCTTACATGACATATTTTCTCTGGAGCGTGAGTTCTGAAACAGCCTGTATCTGATTACAAATAAATGCAATTTGGTTTTACTGATTTTTCAAAGTGTTGCTTAATTATTGCACAAATACTTAATGATCACAAATACAATTTTTTTTATGACAAAAAGCTCGAGTCTGTATCTAAGCTTTCATAACAGATTTGAGTGTGAATTGATAATAACTATGGTAATATCCTGATTTCTAACCTTTTAAAGGTCGGGAAATTTGTCATTACGTCCCAATGGTTGGGACATAATATTTTATGGAGAATTGTCAAGGATACAAGCCCATCAAATGTCAAAAACTCATTCTGTTTTTCCTATTATTTAAACAAATATAATTGTAGATAAAATAGTATACAAGCCTCGGTGGAAATGTCACGTTTTCCACCTCGCATGTAATCTACAAATTTCAAATTCAAATTATTGGTTAACTTCAAAAAATTGCAACTAATTTCAAACATTTATGTATCGCACTTGTTCTTACAGGACAACTTAAAGTTAATAGGGAGAAATAAATCATCTTCTAGGTGTACACAAGAAGGTATGCTTGGTAGTTTCCTTGTTACCATGATCTGGGCAAAGTACTCTATAAGGATCCTCCTGTCTTGTACAGACATTTTGTACAACACTTCCACAAGTACCACACACTTTATATGACTGGTATGAAGGAATAGGTTTTGGTGGTGGATTAATCACAGAAGATCTTTTAACAGGACATGTCTGAGGCAAGCAACCCACATTTTCACCAAAATTGCTAGCCCCATATGAAGGAACGTAATTATTACGTGCACCACTGAAGTAATTTGATGCGTTGCTGTAAACATTGTTGTAACCTCTGACACCCATTCCAGAGCCAAATCGAAAACCAGGCGTGTTTCGTGGAGTACATCTATCATAAAAACAAGTGCTATTTCCTTGATTAGGTGATAAAAAATCAACAACCTTGAGGAATACGTAGCAGCACTGCTACTTCTTGGAGAGCATGAAGGAGGAAAACCACCTGGTAACATACCAGTACCAGCTCCAAATCCAGAAGGACGCGAAGACATCATATTTTGCATAGCAGCCGAATATCCAGGAGCGCAAGGTGGCATCATCATACCACCACCTCCAGCTCCATAACCAAAACTTCCGCCGCCTGAACCATATCCAAAACCCCCAGGACCACCAAAACCACCACCCGGACCACCAAAGCCACCAAAACCCCCACCAGGACCACCAAAACTTCCTCCCCCGTAGCCTCCTCCAGGACCACCAAATCCGCCACCTGGTCCTCCAAATCCGCCACCCCCAGGTCCTCCAAAGCTACCACCTGGACCACCATATCCGGCACCAAGACCACCAAAAGCACCACCAGGTCCACCGAAAGCACCACCAGGGCCCCCACCAGGTCCACCAAAAGCACCACCGGGGCCCCCACCAGGTCCACCAAAAGCACCACCAGGGCCGCCACCAGTTCCACCAAAAGCACCACCAGGGCCGCCACCTAGACCACCATATCCACCACCAGGGCCTCCCCCTGTTCCACCATAACCACCGCCAGGGCCCCCACCTGGACCACCCCTTCCACTACCAGCGACACCTTCATGGCCTTCTCCTTTGCTACTTTTTCTTCCCCGTCTCCCGCTACCTCCTCTTCCAGAGCCTGTTCTTCCTCCAGCTCGTCCACTACCTGTTCGACCACTACCAGTTCGTCCACCTCTTCCAGTGGAATCTTTCTGGTCTTTTTTATCATTAATTGAAATTCCAACTCCACTTGTTGTAGGAAAATCGGAGATTTTAGTAGATTGTTTTCGTTCAGGAGGAGAACATGGTTCACATGGGTAATAACGAGGCTTGCATAAACTTGAACGACTTGGAGGACATGGTTCACAAGGATTACATGAAGGTCGAAAACGTATTGTTTTATAATAAGAACAGCATGATACACTCATACTTCATTGTATTACTAAAATTTTAAATTTTGCCGAACTATATGTCAAACATCATATTCGTAACTAAAATGTCATTTCACATACCTAACATAAGGTAACTATAAAAAAATGGACTTGGTGGCCTTTTTTATAAGTAGAAAATATTGGCAGTTAATAAATAACAATCAAGTAGAATAAAATCTAAAATAACTTGTAGGTTTTCAGTAAAAAATTTAATTGTCTTTATTGTCACGCAGAAGTATTTTAGAATGCAGTTGCTGCGATTGCAAGGTTACTGACTTTGTAGTTTCGGCAATTGTGTTCAAAGTACGACCAAACTGGAACACACACAGAGGAGATGAATTTATTAATAGGCCTTCTGGAAAGGAAAAGAAAAGAAGAGAAAATTTTTTGTTTTGTTTTTGTTTTCTATTTGCAACTGTTTTTTACAGTCATTAGGAAAATGTAAAAAACAAATATTATGGTATTACCACAATGGCAAACTAGTATTTTTTTAATTTACCATTTTTTATTCAAACTATAGAAACATTTTTTTATAATAGTGTCCAAATAATAATTGTTACATGAATGTATTTAGCTAAAGTTGATTTTTTCTGTTATTTATAGAACACTTGTACGTCATTTTCAAGATTTTTTTGAATCGCACTGTATATACTAGTCTAACGAAAGAGAAAGTCCTGCTATAAAGCAAGCCCAGAAGATGTCTTAGAATTCATGCTACGAGAAAAAATATTCGTGGTTTAAATTGAATTAAAAATCATAATTTAATAATAGATTTTTAAAATGGGCTCCATATCTTCCGGACTTACCCTACATTTTAATAAAAGAGTACTTGAACACTTATTTAGTTCAAATTTTTTTTACAACTTTTCAAGCCTAATTTTAGAAAACTAAATTATTTTATTCTTCGACACTGTCAAAATTTACGGTTTTCCTCCTGTGTAAGGAAGTTTTGACAATTGTTTGGCATTTCTCAATAAAACGTCAAATTATTTTTAATAGATTTAAAGTAATTTTGAGCCTTGCTCATCTTCGTGTAAATCGCTTCATTTCGTTAACACTCGTGGTTTAAAAATCCACTCGTAAAATAAAGCGTCACTCAAACTCGTAGAATAAATAACTATTACGAAATTTTGTATAAACGGACTTAAAAATCGTCTTCTTATGTCTACTTCAGCAAATTACGACAAGATTACTTCATTCTTTAACCCACAAACTAACTTATTTCAAGAACTTTGAGCTTAAAACGCACTTATTTGCTTCATTTTTAAAACAGATTTTTTTATTGTATAGATATGTTATTATCTCAAAAAATTTTACCTAAATAATAAAACAGAAATTTGTCGCTCTAGTTAAAAATTGCGGTAATTTAGATAATTCTGGGTATTTTTGATTCAATGTTGTTTATTTTTGAGCCAAAAATTCAAGATATTTTGTCAAAAAAAAAACAGAAATTCGTTCTTTTGAGTCTGATTAGTATTATCTCTGCCAATTCCGAGCGATTTAGCTCCTTTTTAACTCAGAAACACAAAAACAGATTTTGCACTTATTGCAATTATTTTTTTACTACCATTTCAGACAAAACGAAAACAGATTTCAATTATTACAAGTTTCAGAGTAAGTTTTTTCAAAAATAAAAATCCTTTAAATAAAAAATCGCAGTCGATCGCTAAAACATTTTTATCCACAAACGTCACAAAAATTACCACTTTTATGACTAAATATCACAACTAAAAGTTTTACCTTTCATCCATGGAGTAAAAATTCTATATTTACGCCTAAGCGTTTTTACTTTTACCATGAAATTGTTAAGATTTACCAATTTACCACTCCGTTCAGCTTCCCCATAAAAACTACACTTTCACTCCTAATAACATCTTTAAGTCCAAAATACGTATTAAACAAGTTATTCATACAGTAAATATTAAAAATACAAAATCGGAAAAAAACAAAGACACTTTTGTGTGAAATGTTCGTTGCTAAACATGTCTAAACATAATAAAATAGAAGCAAAATAATTTTATTCTAAAAATTTCAATGCTAAAATCAAAAACAAAAAGTGAGTAACAGGTTCGAAAGAGAAACATTATATAGACACCATTTCAATAAAATATACAGGGTGATTCAGCTTAAATGACCCACCTGACCCCTCTTAGCAGACAACACATAATACATTATTCACTTATTCCTTTATTCAAAATTAAATTTTCAAAATATCGATAATCAAAGAACGATATTTTTCGATTTATGAAACTTTCAAAATTCGAATATGAATCAAGGAATAATTGTTTTGTGTATTATAGATTGTCTGCCAAGAGGGGTGTAATGGGTCATTTAAGCTGAATCACCCTGTATAGGGTGTTTTCTCAAAGCCGATAAAATTTTATGGAAATAATTCAAGTGCTTTTGGAGGAACTAATGGATTTTAATTTTTATCGTAAAATTTTATCACCCTGTATATACATAACGAAGCCTTACACTGGGTGCGCCAAAACTAAAGTAAGATACCAGGAACATGGAAAAAATGTTAAAAAAAAATTATCTATAAAAATTTTGAAGTTATGAGGGTTTTAAAGTTTGCACTTTGACTATTTATTTCTGTTAGAAAAATAATTTTCCCAGCTTTTTTGCTATAGGCTATTAAAAGAGAAAACAAGGAAGCTGTATCCTAAATTGTAACTCTGTTCAATGTTATTTGTAGCTTTTATTGTCAAAATTTTTGTCCCTTTACTAAATAATTGTAAAAAAACATATACAAGATCATTAGTATCATTAAACAGATATTTAAAAAATGTCAAATGTCAAAAAATAAATGTCACAATTTTTTGACAGATTGAATTTTTTAAACATTTTTTTCATGTCCCTATCTTACCTTATTTGAAAATTTTCTCTAGGGCGCGAGTTCTGGCGCACCCTGTATAACCATCGATTTTTTAACAAATTATTGTTATTTTTCGATATAGAATATGTAATTGCAATTTTTCGCAATATTAAAAAATGTAGTTGCAAAAATCTTACCGGAATTACAGGTCCGTCCTGAATGCAAGCAAACAGTATACCATTCATAATAACTTCATTTATTTTTTAAACATCATGTAGTTTCTGAAAGTATATTTTTTGATTTTATGGAAAGCAAAGGGAATTTGGAATAATATACCATCAAGGTTTATTCTCCAATATAATTTTTTTTGTAATATTCTTTAAAATCGAAAAATGTACTTTCTTAACTTAAAATTATTGATTTATTTCATCACCTAGACAAAAATACTCACCCATGCATCTACTTTTTCAACTTTCTGTGCATGAATCGCAGGTTCTTCAACCGCCACCGCCGGTTGATCCAGACTGGGGTACATAGGCGGAGTCCTCCATGCAGAAGGATCAAGTTGCCATCCATAACCATTTCCATGCCATCCATAACCATTAGCTGCACCTGGAGGTTGCTGGTAATGTATCACTGGATAAGCATTTGCGTATTGTTGGTACGGAACCACAGGTGGAGCATGAAACATTTTTCTAACTTATCACTCAAATCTCTTTGGTATATTAATTGTATTTTTTCGAGACTGACACAACGCGCCTCGTTTTTTATTTATATTTTGGTTATTTCGGTATTTGGGACGTTTGAGGTTGTTGGTGGACGTTTTCTCACGTTAATCTGAAAATTATCTCGTGTTATAAATGAAGCAAACAGATTCGGTACATAATTACAGAGTTAGTAATTGTTTAGTTCATACTTTATTACGTCATTGTTTATTATTGAACTTAAATTTGAACTAGCCCTAATTACTATATTTAATATTGAAAATTCGATTCCTAACTAACCTTTACGAAAAGAAAACGCCACATTATCTGTGTTGAGTAATCTAAAATAGAAGGGCATTCGATGAAACGGGGTCATATTTTGCCGATTTTATCCATAAATGGAAATCTTACAAGTTTGGTAGTATTATAATTATAAAATTGCATTGTTCGGAGTACCGGTCTTAAATATGTTGATTCATAAAACACATAAAGATATAAAATGTGAAAACAAAGAATAATAAAAAAAATAAATTAAAGTTCTGCGAAAATTTATTTTATGCCACATAAACAATTTTGTATTAAAAAAGAGTAAAAATTAAGTACTATGAGGTCTTCCGAGGTAACACCTAATATAAGTATGTAAATTATGATATCCTTGTTATCGTCAAATATTCAAATTAAAAATATAAATAAAAATATTTGTACATGTTATTTAAAACGAATCTGCTCATATATTAAATAACTAAAAAATACCTAAAACTCAATTTGTAATACTTAATAGGTGCCTTCAATTTTAAATGTAGTTTACTATTTAAAATTCTAAAACCTAAGCATCAACTAATGACAATCCAATTTAAAAAAATAGTTATTTTCGATACAAGTGCGCTGTCAAATTATTTTTCAGGTCTGAGATCGAATTTTGCGGCACGAAGCGAAGCTGAGTGCTGCAGTGGAGGTCGAAGACCTGAAAAATAAGACAGCGCACGTGTATCAAACAACATTTTTTTATGATTGTCAGCGAAATTTCATAAAAAACGTGGATTTATTGAAAATTTTGATTTTAATTTTGACAAATGTCAAATCAAGTATATAAATTAAAAAATTTATATATTTAGTTATATACCACTTTTCACCTTATGTATCTAAGGGAACGATCATGAAAAAAGCATATTCACAATTTTCTTAAAACTAGGTTTTAAAATTTGTGTAACTTCCATTTTAATTGTCCTACAAATCTTTAATAATTCTCAAGTTATAAAAACACCATTCTAATCGAATTGTCAAAATGTATTCAAATTTTAAATCAACATAAAATACCGGGTGATTAATAATAATGAATGGCTCCGTAAAGCGACTTGATTTACTTTTTATATTACATTTGACAAAAAAATCAACTGTTTATTTTATAAACAAAAATGTCAAACAGCCTTAACGTTGGTACTTATCAGTGTTTCCAGTCAAAAAAAAACAAATTCTCCAGATTCGAACTGAAAAAGTGGCCAGATTTACACCAATTTCACCAGATTACAAGATTATGATTTAAATCTTTCCAGTAGTGTCGAAAGTTCACGATTTTTTAGATAAACTACGTAGTCAAAATCTCGTGAAAAAACGGCGTTTTCAACACAAAAATCTGCTTAAGCAAAGGCAAAAATGACATCACTTCGGTCTAGTTTTGTAAATTTCATCTTGTTTTTAACGAAATTTTGCGAAACAATAGCGTTTCTAGCAGAAAAATGTGCTAAAACACGAAAAATAATATAATTTTCGATTTAATTTGTTGTTTTTTTGGTTTGTTCGCAAAAAAAACTGAGCTTTTACAATAAAAACATGTTTAAAAAAAAATTTGAGTTTTTCGGCTTATTTTTGACTTAGTTTTGCTCAAAAATCAGTTAAATCGAGTGAAGCAAACAAAACAAGATAACATAACAGTCATTAGAAGTCAGAAAAAAAACCTTTAAGAAAATTTAAACCCAAAAACGTAAAAACATAGATAAATTCGGTATGTGTGAAAGTAGAAGTCATAAAAAACACTGTTAATAAAATTTGAATACAACTTGTAAAAGACTTCAAAAAGCAATTTTTTTAATAAAATTTCTGAGGACAAAAACGAGTAACAAACAAAATTTTGTAACAAGTAACACTAAAATTTTGACATTGTATTTTTTCTTCCTTCAGTATTTACTCTATTGCTATCTATTTTATTGAACTATTTCTTTAAATAAGGTTATCAAGTATTCGAATAATGTATAATTGCTTAACAAAAATTAAAAACAAATTAGTAATTTATTAGATAAATGTATTCCGTATTTAAATTTATGTTAAATTAATGACTGAGCCCAATTTTATTATTTTTGATATTTTTTAACATTACGTTACATATACTGCGTTCAAAAAACCGTACAATTCTCGGGTGGTTTTTAGAACCATAAAATTATTCTCAACATTGCAAACAAAAATCTCCTTAAGTAGATATAACTCTTGAAAAATGCAATTTTTTATTAACTACAGACGATAATTTTATATTTTATTAGTAACAAATGTTAAAACATGCATCTAGAATATTAAAAAATAAATAAAATTTTAAGAATAATAAGTACAACGTAGAAAAAACACTTTTTAAATGTAAGTAGAGATTTTCTAAAATTTATTGGTTTCTGTATAACAAACGTTTCAAATTATTGAGTGCAGGCTCAAAATGGTTCAAAATATATTGCAGCGTTGCCAACTTGTGCTATCTTTATAAACATACATATTTTCTAAACCACGTGGCTTAAAAAAATTATAAAAGCAAATCTGAGCTTCTATTAACATTTTGTATCACATACATATAGAAAAGTGTCCGACTTTTTTGAATCACCGTGACTCTCTTCTCGGACATATCAAATTCCGTCATGAGATTATTTACTGAATAGTCAGTTCTAAATTTGTATCACCCAGATGTTTTACAAAAAGAAAACTAACAGAAAAACCATTCCACTGTCTATATTTATTTCATCAGATACTCAAGAACTTGCAAATAAAAGTGTACAAAAATACTCAAAATCAATTTTTCAAAATATGTGCTACAATCTTATGACTTTAATAGATACACGAAAAAATATAAAATCAACAATAAAGAAACATTTAAAATACATGTAGACTTTTTGATTTCGAATGAGTGTTAAGACAGTTAAAAAATAAAATATGAACAACTTTAATAACTATAATAATAATAATAATTATACAAATAAAAACTTAAGTTTTTCCAACATTCGAAACCCATGAATCGTTTTCTTAAATTTTCAGTGACGTCGTATATGACGAGATTATAACGTCATGTACGTAGATCACCGTAAGATAATAATAATGAATAACTAACCAATGAGTCAAAATCAATTTTTTTCTTAAACAAAAGACAAAACAATTCGTTGATCAATCATTCAAGTAATGAACAGTATATTTTTGATATTTTTAAAATTTTAAAATTATGATGAGACTTAATATTGGAACTGTCCTTGACAATAATTGATCAAAATTATTATTACGTTATTGTTTCAATCAATTAATAAGGAAGAGCATTGTACCGCATTATGGTACATACAAAAATAAATTAGATCAGCTTATTTTTTTATACACATAATTACTTTTGCGACTGCAACTTTGAAACAAAACTTAATTACAGTTAACATGCAAAACTGCTATAAATTTATAAAAAACAAGGGTTAGTAAACCCAAAAAAAAATTATTAAGTTAAACTCAAAGAATCTATAGTCAAACACAATTATTTTTGTTAATTAAAAACTGAAATCGTTAAAAAATAGGTAGGTCCGTAGTCACACGACTGAAACAAAAACATTTCATTTTCATTAACCCAGAATAACATCGAATGCAAGTTATTGTTGCTTTGAGGTCTAAAATCCCAGGCGTATTAAAATAATGAACAACATGCTACAATTTCACAATTTTTGACAACCTTCACCCATTAACCATGGTACAACATAACTCACTTTCATTATTCACCTAACCTAACCAGTTAACAACTACGTTATTGTCTGTAGAAGAGTAAACGTACCTAATATCACATTCTTTCGAGTATTATCCAAAGCAGATCTTTGTTTCGTGTTAATAAACCTAACTAGGCATATTTGCACAACATCACACAAACCATAAACTCAACAACTCAAGCAAAGACGAACGATTTTGAGGGAGGAAGGGGAAACAAGGAAGGCACCGGCCTTGAGTGAGTCATGCTCGGAGTATAAAGGTTCGGCAAATGTCGTTACTTTTCAGGAGACTTCAGTCTTTCAGACGAGAGCATCCGATTCACGTTTTTCTTTAGGATTACGTTTTTTTTCCGAGTTCAAAGTTTTTGGAAGTGCGCCTAGAAAAAAGAGTCAAGGTTTGTGTTTAATGTTAGGTTTTTTATGTTCTATTTTCTACTTTAGCCTATTTCTATTCCTATAGTTCTGAAAACTGACAAAATCCTTACCTAGATGTAAAAATCAAAAACTCTCGTTGTAGTAACTTATCTATATTTGCAACATTTAAAAAAACAAATCAAATTGATCGAATCAGATTTTCTGTATGAATTCGACAAAAACAAAGCGAGATTTTTGTTAAAAAATAGGCGGAGTCGAGCACTGTTACATCTAATTATTTAGATTTTCTTAAATGTGTACAAGAAATGGCAAAACGAGTTTCTTTGGGTTCACTCTATTTTTGTTTATATCGTATATTTTTTTATAAAGAAAAGGAGAAATCGTCTATAGAAGAAAAATTAAATTAAATTAAGGTGATACTGAAAAAGAATCTAAGCAGAAAAGTGGACGTTTCTGCTTATTTTGTTCGTTTTTCTGTTTTTTAACGAGGATTGACTTTATTTCATTAAGCTTCAATTGATCAGTCACAAAATTAACTATAAACACTTCAATTTAAAATAAAAATAAAAGTTACAAAATCAGACCAAAATTACAAAATCTTTTTTTAATATAGATATTTATTATACAATTTATTCATTTTAATTGCAACCTCAGAATCTACTCAGTCTGGATGTTCAAGAATGATTTGATTAAATTCACACGACTTTTTTTAACAATGGATTTGATTTCAACGAACCAATTCCTTGTGAATCACAGAATACGTGGGTATGTGATTCTTCCAATTTACATATGGTATGGAGTCAAGTCATAGTAGATAAATATCACGTTTTAGAACTTAACAGATTTTTTTCAAGGTCGTCGAATCTTGTACAGATTTTAATTACAATAAAAATTCAAAAACCGATTCATTTGATGTATCCTAAAATTTTAAAGGGGTTGTTTGTATTACAAAGAGGGTGCTACAACTTTCAAAAGCACTCTAAAAGGTGTCTCCCTGTAAAAAAAATTGACCGATCTCGGTATTTTCTAAGTTTTATTTATTTTCCTGAGATATCTAAAGTGGCTCGTTTTAAGAAATCACCCTGGATAAATATTTCATTTGTTAAATTTTCTATGTTAACATACTTTTTAAAATATAATTTTCCCTGTTCTAATACTATTATACTAAAATCAATTTGGTAATTTGCCGAGTTAACGCTAATTATATTCTAAAATTGTTCAAATATTTCTACTCTATTTTTGAATTATTGTTACACTACCTACTGTCTGTAGTCTTACAAAGCGCTGTTATTTATATTTATTCTAGTTACCAACTGTATTTTTGGAAACATGGCCCAAAAAATGTTCTAAAAAAGTTAACTAGTTAAGACTATGTTGGAATTATGGCTTCAAATAGATCTTCGCATATTTCGTAAAATATTACTTGTACAAGTACATGAAATTGTCACAAATACGATAAAAAAAATACTGAAAATGTGTTTTTTTTTAAATACTCATAAAAACACCAATTTTCTGTAAGAAATGAAACTAAACCAATGTTAACACCTATATATTTCATGTAACACTAGAATACAGTGTGTTCAATATATTTTGGCATGAACACAAAATATAAACAACAAACTCTATTTTCAAATGTAACATCAGAGTGAATGATTGTTTCAGAAATGAGACTGTGTTTCTATTAATTAGATAAGTATTTAAAAACAGTCTTATTTATAATAACATATTATCATATTTAAAATCAAAGCTTAATATTTACATCAAGCTTAATAATAGAAGCAACAAATTGTTTGACACATTTTCATTTCTAAAACAATCGTTCTTAAGTCTCTAGAGTATGAACATTCCATTTTGAGATACCATTACACTCATTATGTACATGTCTTAAAATTACTTAAAGCATTATTTTTATTCATTTATGATATACTACAAAATATTACACCTGGGATAATACAAAAAACAAAAGATTCAACACAGTTTAATAATAATAATAATTTAATGGGGAGGGATTAAGTAAACACTTTTGAGCTATTTTCACTAACTTCTAGTAATAAAAATAATACTAAATGTAAACAGTAATAATAAGTAACAAAAGCATTATTACTTATGTATGTTTCTCCTACAAATAGCATCTATTATTTTTAGTGGTCTATCGCAACCAGTTTATTATAACATTTCTTTAAAAAAAAGTGTTTCCAATACTATTGCACATGTATAAAATACTTAAACAAAACATTCATTCAACGTTTCATTCATACATAAATAAATGACTTAAATACTTCATTTTTATATAGTGATAACATTAAAATACAAGGTATTTTAAAATACTTAAAAAACGGTATTTTTGAAAATACCCTGTATTAATACATACGCGTTTACTAGTTACTCTAACAATATACTCTGTTTACAATAAAATATTCTCATTTATTTAACTGAGCAAAATTTATCAAATGAATTTTATACAAAAATCACATTACAGTTAGTTTACAAAGAGTGTCCCACGACTGAGACTTAAGTTTGTAACAAAAAGAGAACAGTTCTTAGTGCACAACCAATTTCATGAGCTTAAAATGATTGCATTTTTCGTATTTCAAATAATAGGTAAAAAAATATCAGTACGTCTCAACAGATATGCAAATCCCAATAAATCTCCTCGTTACACTCTTTTTAACAATTTATCTCCGTTTCATTTAAAAATTTGCTGGCATTTGCATTTAGGTAATTGTTTTGGGAAACAGGTCCATTTTGTAAAACACCGTTACCAGTCACGGTATCACCTGTCAAAAGAGAACTGTATTTGTTTTGAGTGGGGGTCAAGGATTGTTTAACCAAAGCTCCAGCATCTAACGAAATCCCAGACTTGAGGGAGCTCATGTCTTTCATGTTATTGTTGTGATTGCCCACCATGCTATTGGACACCAATTTATCCATCTGAAATGCAACGAGTTAGAACGTAATTCAAAAAAATGGCAACAAATTAAATGCACAATGTATTATTTAAATGTCAAGTATTTTTGATCAGTAAAAATAATAAGTGCACAGTAAAATAATAAATGTACACTAAAAATAATAAATGCACAGTAAAAGTAATAAATGCGCAGTAAAAATAATAAATGCACAGTAAAATAATAAATGCACAGTAAAAATAATAAATGCAGAGTAAAAATAATAAATACGCAGTAAAAATAATAAATGCACAGTAAAATAATAAATGCACAGTAAAAATAATAAATGCACAGTAAAAATAATAAATGCACAGTAAAATAATAAATGCACAGTTAAATAATAAATGCACAGTAAAATAATAAATGCACAGTAAAATAATAAATGCACAGTAAAAATAATAAATCAATGCACAGTAAAAAATAATAAATGCACAGTAAAAAATAATAAATGCACAGTAAAAATAATAAATGCACAGTAAAATAATAAATGCACAGTAAAAATAAAATATGCACCGTAAAGTGAATGAATGTCCACTAAAACTAATTTATTTAATATTCACACATTTATTTTACAAACACATTGTTTTCGAGCAAAACCAGAGTGTCGCAAAGCGTTCAAGGTTCAAGTTTCCAGACCTTGCTAAAATCATTCTTGCGCAGGGGCACTTTAAATGAAAAAGGATCCTTTTGTCTTTGATCATCGATATCTGAGCAAACAATGACCACACAGAGAATATAAGGGTAGTGACAAAAAATGGAAAAAATGTCTTATAGGATCCTTTTATGATTTTTTTGAAAATATTTTTTTTCACTCTCAACATGGATTTAAAGGAAAGAGAAAAAAGTAGCTTTTTACGTTGTTTTATTAAAACTACCACGTATTCACTAATATTGATGGGGAAACTAATGTTTTTTAGGTGTTTTTAGAGCTTTAGGCCTATGAATTTTTAAATCGATTTATCACAGTTTTCTCGGACCGATTGATCAAAGTTTCACAAAAGAATTAAAGGAACAATTGTTTCTGAATATTATCAAAATGAGAAAAACATTTTTTCTTTCAGCTTTTTTTACAATTTTGCATTAGTTATTTGCTGAAATTAAAAAAAAATTAACTTTTTTTAAAATTTTCTTC